TTCTGGCACCATTTTTAGAATGGGCATATGGACTCTATGTGAGTAAAATAGTATCATGCCATCTCATGCGCTACTCTAAACTCTATCACTCTTAATCAACGATAATATTAGTAATCCTACTTTCTTGTACATTTTTAAACCAGTTTATCTACGTCATCACCATAATATGGTAGTATAGTTTATTTATATAGTTACTTTTTGTTTTGTTTTTCATAATTTTGACGAATTTCAATATTGGTCACGGGCATCATCAGTTCAATGGTCACTGAGTGATGATGGCACTTCTTATGTCATATCCGTCGGATAAGAAATCTGATCCCAATTATGATGGCTTGATAAATATTAATGAATTAACTTAATGACCAATTATTTGATGATAATACCCATCGGATGATGTGACATTTTACCGTGTGAAACTATTAAACAAATTAACCTTGAATAGATAGGCAAGTTAATTGTCAAAGAACATAAAACATTTAATTAGATTTCCCATCAAAATCTAAACGGAAGATGTACAGTAGGCTTTCTTTGAGAAGTTTTTTGCCGAACAAATGTGTTTGTGCTCAGTAGCTTCAATAATGGCACGCGTAATAATTTACGCTTGGGTATTAAGGACGTGTTGGATTAAAATACTAGTAATATATACACCCTAGGGGACACATGAAGACAAGCAATTGTTTTCTATTTTATTTTGTTTTGCTGGAGGGGGACTAATACTAAAATTTAATTTATTTGTGTTTTTCTTCGTTCGCTTTTTCTTTGGATTACTTTGAAATTGTACAGGGTTTATAAATGCGTGGTGCGAGTCAAGCAAGTCTGCTGCGTATACTTTTGTTGCGTCACAAATTATACACTAAAGTTAAACAATACTTATTCTACGGCCTAATAAATTAATTGACATCGCGCTCTGACCAACGGTGGACCGTATACCCACGACATACAGACCTAGTTAGCTTGACATGCTTGCCGTTACCAAATTAATTTAACTGGGTAATAACTCTAAAACTGAACTGATAAGCACAAAAGTTTGAATAGGCCAGTCAAATATTTAGGCAATTTATTGAAACCTGTTTTATTGGTATTTAACTGAATGTGTTATCTATTAACCTTTTTATATTATTGAAGGCCTTATCATACGGAACCTTATACCTCAAATACAGGTTGAATGTGTCGTAGCTATCAATCTTACGGGCCGATTAAAATGGGGGGCAACAATTGCTTTGTATCTTTGTATGACAGAATCATCGCCTATTGTATTCAATATCTCAACGCGTGAGACACACAGACAAGCAGGTTGAGGAACAAATATTTTTGAGATAGTAATGATGAATGGCTATCTTTGATAATAATATTTTAAATTTTAAAAGCTTTCTGATGTTACACAATTAAGTAGGGCCAATTATATCGGTGTACTTGATCATTAACTTTCATTAGTAAGTTCCATTTTTTTCTATTAGGCTCTTTAAATGTCAGTAAGCGAGTGCTATCCAAATTGAAAAGTTTGATGTTGAATAAGAAAACTTTTAAAAAAGTACTTCCTATAATATTGTAAGTACGTAAATCAAAATTATATCATACATGAATAAATCTAATACGAAAACAAAACTATAAGATTCTTTATTCATTACATTAATACTAAGTAATTAGTTTGTGACTTGAAGTATCTAACAAGCTTTAGTGTAATTTACTAAAACCAAAAACCATTATCCTAAATATGATTTATAACAATTTAACAGGTTTTAAATATTAATAGGACATTTATTGCAAATCCATTAACATCTATTTATTATACTGTATTGAATTAATACGCAATAATATACAATCAAATTTTAATCAACTGCTAAGACAACATAATTGCGTGTTCTTATTTAAATGAAATTTAAAGAAAATTGAGGTATATCGTTTTACTACACTTTTAATTGCCAAACTATTAACGTGAGGCGTGTTTATAGCTCTACCGTATCGAATTTCGATATGTTTTTATGCTACCTTACATTAAAAATAATTAGATAGACACTTGATTTCGTCTGTGTTAATTTTAGAGTTGATTTATAAACGCAGAAGCTTCTGGACTAATAGAAGCATCAAGTATAATTAAGTGGATTGAAAGCCAATTTATTTTGATTAAATCTGCTTCGACTTTAGTCTGTTTTACGTTAATTAAAATTAGAAACATGGAATTATTATATGTTTTTGAAATGTTTTTTTTATTGAATCTGTTTTTTTTTAAACATTATTAGTAATTTGTTATTGCGCAAATAACTTGTAGTCCCGTTAGTCCCTCATACTAAGCTAAATATGTTTGTTAATTATCCTGCTTTCGCCTCCGAGATTTATTTTACCGTGTAGTACCCCTGTACGACAAGCCAATCCGCACACAATATTCAGCGTAGTAGTAGTAAAAAACAAAAGAGCGGGCAACCCCACCCCTACCACGCTGTGGGCTCGGTGTCCGAGCGGTCTCATTCCTTTGTGCGCACGCGCAACGACCGCACGCAGTATAAGAAAAATGCTTAAGTGACGTCACCAGGACGTTTTTACCGACAAAAAACGTAATTATTTTAAGTTGTGCAGTGTAGTGACGAGAATTAGACCCAACACAAGGTTGGTTGTAACAACTATTTTGTGTAAATCTCTTCGGCGAAAACAGGATAATTCAGATCGAACTTCACTTGGTAAGTTCGTTTGATCATCTAATTATTTAAAAAATATATTTTTAGCAAAATTTTTTAATAAGTCGTCTGATCTTCCAGTCTGTATACTCGCTGACATTGGTCGAGATTCTCAATAGGTGTACCAATGATGTAGTCCCAAATTGTTTATGGTTTTGTTTCACGATGGATCGCAATCATGCGCAGGTCATGATATGAAAACATCTATCTTGTTATGCAAAACCATCATCATGTTACACAACAGTCATCACTGCATGGTTATTGGAACTCGTATGTGTAACTCAATTGTTTTGATCAAGACGTTATGTTCTTTGTGAGGTGGAAGGTCGCTTCTTCTACTCGATTATGTGTCTAACTTGAATGATAGTAAGATATGAATAAAGTATTATGGCTTTAACTAGTAACTGTACTGAAGCTCTACCATGAAATGTCAATTTAATTAATCCGGCGCTATCCAGAAACCTAGCCAGAATTCTTTAATGAGTATAAAGAAGACCAATAGACTCTATTTAAAGTTATAAAATTTCATCAAAACTCCACAAAATAAGCTAATAAGCTACTTATCTCTATTTTATTTTTGTACCTAACTCTAATTATAATGCGGGGTTTTCTAACACAAATTTTAATAGACTTGTGTTTTACTTCAAAGAAAATTCTAATCGAAACCCTGTCAAAAAGTCAAACCTGATACTGAATAAAACAATTTTTTATTTGTAATTGTGAAAACAAAAGGTCAGCTGATAATCTCTAATTTAATTAACCACCTGTGTATTCAAAGAGCATGCGCCATACGGTCATTCAGCATGTAATGTTCACAAAACGCGCTATAAACCGTGCGCCCGCGCCGACTCGTAAAGTGGCAAATCGATTCTATGCCTATAAAGAAATGTTCTAGCTATGCGAATATTATACAGTACGCAAATAGTATAAATAGGTATTTTATAAGGTAGATAGATTTTTGTTATTTAAGCTTTGCATCTTCGCAAAAGCTTCGTTAAATATTTTTCTTAGTGAAAAAGTGACTCTATATCGTTCGTTCCTCCGTTTCAGCCAGATGACGTCTAGGTACTGCTGGACAAAGGCCTCCCCCAAGGATTTTTGTAATGACTGGTCCTGCTCTGCCCGTATCCAGGTTTTTCCAGGGCCCGGATCGTCGGTCCACCTAATGGGGGGCCTGCTCTCTATAACGTTGAAATTACTGAATGAAATTGAGATATTAAGAATTTCACAACATAATATTGTAAAAAAATACTATTTTCCCGTCTCTTCACGATATAAAGTTGCGGATGGCGTCATCTTTATAGCGATGGTTTATTTTTCAAGACGATTCTGAAATGACGTAAATTGTGGTCGTATTTACGATGAAATTCAATTCACTTTATTTTAAAGTCGAAAAAACTTTATTACCTCTCAGCAGGGACCAATTACGCTACATTTGTGCCTTACATTTTATGATGACAAAAAGATGGCCGATCCAATTGCAATCGCCTTTCAAATGTTTCATTGTGATTGCCGATTTGATTACTCGAATGGAGAAAATGTAAAACCTAAAATTCTAAATTTTAGAATAGTCACGAAATGTGCCTAATGTTTTAGAAAGTGTAGATGTAGAATATTTAGATTGTCAGACAATTTTAAGCCATTACATACATAAAAAAACACACACACTTAAAATTGAAATATTTTCTCGACCTACAGACCATCCCTAAATTAAAAAAAAGTTCGTAACATCACTTTGGGAATATACCTTATTTAGAAGTTAATAAAACTGGTCGTTAACGTTTAAATTATAGCGGCATGGCATTACCTCAACATTAAAAGTGTAGCAGTCACGTAATATCGCTATATTGGTATGATATCGTTTAAGGCCCAAGAAATGTATGAGGGCAATAAAATAATAAATAAAGTTTCTCTCGGCAATGAATCACCTATTTACGCGGGCTCGAGCAACAATGCAGGGCTAGTGAACATTTGGCAATGGTTCAGAGATCACGCAATTAATTCTATGGCCGATTTCGAGAATCGGATCTGCAGCTACGTCACGATGCGACTAATTCACCGCGAATTTCGCAATGACACCATGAAATAATTGCTCGCGAGCAACTTTTGTCGTAACCGAACAATATTTGGTGACGTCGAAAGTTGCGCAACTCTGAATCAGATGGCGATGAAATTAACTTCTCGCAACTCCGTCTTATTATTTGTTAACAACCATTATTAGTGTTTCGTCAAGCACCGTCATTAAAGGCAAACAAGCCTCTTTATTTGCCATCAAATCCTGCAGATATCTTTTATTAAGGTCGCTGATTAGTGTGTTTTCTTTTGCAGTGCAACAACAACGCCGCCAAGCTGTCTACCGCAAATGAGATTATACCCAGTCACCACGTCCAAGCGCTAATAGGTAAGTAAGTATTTTTAAGCAGATATTTTAAATATTGACTAATGTCAATTAATCGCAGAATTAAAGAGATAAGAAAGTCCTTTGACATTTTTTTTAAAGATTATTATTAGCAATTTTTTGTTATTTGTACTGCAACCTTCATGTTGCTGAAGTTAATTATACTGTCTTAGGTAAATCAAATATCGTTATTCTTTTACCGTGCCCATTAGTTAAACCTTCTCAATCTCTTCGTACTATTTAGGCGTTCCTAGGTTATTTAAAAATAAATATTACGTCTCCATTAGATAGTAAAATTCTTCTTAGCGCCTCATGATTTAGAAGACAATAGGTACTGTAGCAACAAAATGGTTTTGATGATGAGCTTATGAGAATGAAGAGTAAGATTTAAAATATAACAAATGTTTATCAAAACGTGTTTTATTATTATTTTGACTACTAGTTCTTTTCCGAACTGAAACTCAATTTATCACCATGGCAAAGTATTTCAAGTCAACTTTTGATATTCCAGACACATTTCTAGATGAGCATTATCTCTTTAACATAAAGCCTACTTTCCAACAGGTTTGGTGTACGTTACAAATTACTCGAAAATATTCCGCTAATGCAACACAGTTTCAGCGTGGCATAAAGGGCGATCGGCAAACGTTATAATAGCTACCAGGCCTTATTATAATAAACGTGGCGGGCCGGCGGGCGGAACACGGCTTGACCCCGGGCTGCGATTAGCTGGCTACCAGTGGAAATACCTCGTTGTAGTACCTAAGAACATGATGCGGACTTAGATTCACTGGATATGGAACCTATTTTTTTTAGTAAACTCCGTTTAAGAATCAGCCGATACCTATCTTAGGCTGGGTTGCACCATCTTACTTTGACTTTAAAAAACGTCAAAAATCTGTCAAACTCCATACAAAAAGCACCGGTTTTTATTATAGTTACGGTTAAAGTAAGTTGGTGCAGCTCAGCCTTATACTTTTGGATGTGTTGGACCACACACCAAGAAATACACCGGCCTTCAATTAGTTGGCTACTAGTAGAAAACTGCCTCACCGTAATGAACTTTTGTAGATACATAATAGGTACACAAAATACATAATTCTACAAATTGTAATACTACTAACGTGTGGTTTTTAATCTATCCGCTCCAGATCAAATTCACCCCAGACCATAATTAAATTAAACATAGAAATTAACATTCGAGCTTTACATTAGAACATAAACAAAAATGACTGGCTTTTTTCATCCAAACACTACCTGCTTTAATGTGTCCTTGAGGCAGTCGCTTCAGCGATCAGGGGTCGACCTGTCCTACATACGTTTTCCAAGGCTTGGCCTTTTGGAGTCAACTCTTGCTGAGCTCTAGGAATATAAAAATATCTTTATTTACCTGCTTCAAATAAGTCGAATATTACCTTAAAGTTTGGATTGGGCTACTTCAATTATTTTTCTTACATGTCCGCACACCGTCGGCGACTGTACACAGGCGCTCGCACGCATTACATGCGCGATATAATCGCGTAGCAAATGACCAGGAGAAATTTTCGCATCCGAAACATTTTCCAACCTCGATCCATGTAAATTAGACTGCATTATACGGTCCCATCGCCATATTGAGAGAAACGTTTCCATAAAATGAGCAGGGAAAAACAGTAATTGCGAAGGCTCGGCGAGTTATCGAGATATCTACCACCGATTTTCATTTGTTTCACTTTAATTCTGAAAATATGATTACATTTTTTTTACAATCGCTAGTGTCTAGAAGGTTTTCTTTTTTAATCACAACGAGGATAAGAAGAAAGCCTGTATCTCACCTGATGGAAAGTGATGATCAGACCGAAGTTCGAAGTGAGCTTCACCCGGAGTCCTCAACCATAGAGGAACTGGCGAGGCGAACTCAACTAGAGGACTGAATTCTAGTAAGTTCCGAGAAGCTTTAATTCAACTTAAAATGCAAATGAAAATAAAATTAAATATACGAATACATACTGTAAAATATGTATCATTTTTGCTGATTTTAATAAGAAATTACAGACGTAATTACTACCTCAAAGTTCCTATTACGAAAATACTAATAGCGGATATATTAGATTTCTAATCAAATTAATTCATTGAACCCTGTACTATTTTATGGTAAATGACAGATATTTAATCCGAAAGCCCATTAACACAAGTCAAAGCTAACCATTTGGGTACTTGCGTTAAAAGTGGAAGACATTATTCGCCTTTGCGTAGTAGGTCAAGATATTTTGACACGCGTCTCATAATGACTAGTACGCACGCAATGTTGTTTGATATTCACAGAATTCCAAACATTGAATAAGAACATAACGACATAATAGGTTTAGTGTCATTCTTTAAAAAAAAAATTTTTAATAGGTAGGTTGGTATATTGTCTTTCTTTAAAAAAATTTTTTTAAACTTCAAACAATTTTGACAGATTTGAGTTCGTAACTTCGCTACCTCTCCCTATAACGTGTCAGAATCAGTCCCTTTAGCTTTAGACAAAGTTACATGAAAGATGAGATACCTACTTCTTTGTACCGTAATACTTCGTTCCGTGAAGCTATTTCGATATTACAACTGTCATGAAACAGTTTGGAGTTAAGGGGAAAGGGTACTGAACAAGTTAGTGTATTTCATGTGTTTGCATTAAAAAGAAAAATAAAAGGGAAAATTCGTCTCAATTAAAATACTTTTGCTTTTTTCTTATTTTGTATAATGGCCAGGACGTCATAATATAAATGAAAGTTTTTTGTCATTAGTCATTGTCACTAATTTATTTGTTTCTTTTTTTTAATCTCAGTACTCTCATTGTGGTCTTTGAAATTAATTCACATGTACCAAGCAAAGGCATAACGCGTATTCAACTTGTTGCTATCTTCATAATGTAACCACATGCAACTTACCCACCCAGAACTGCCTGAATTAATTGATATATAGCCTAGCGTACCCACGTAATCTGAAATGGTAATTTTATGCGATGCCTGAACCGAATATTCAAGAATATTAAAGCATATTCAAGCTCATTAAGCCAGCTTACCGAATAACAAATGAGAACGACTTAAACTTTATTAGACATAATTTCACTAATAACTCTATAATCGTGTAAACAGTGTAGCTGTCAAAATTACACGCTTGATGTGTTTATTTCTTTGGGCGTGGGAGTAGTCAAAATTATGGTTGATTTTGGTAACCAAATCTTGGTTTTTTTTTCTGTTAACAGCCAATAAATTACTCGTAGCTAAGTATGTTTATGGGCATGTTGACTGTAAATTTTTACCATCATTTAAGCGAAACGATTATTCTTACATAATTTACTCAAAAAATGGAGATAATTTTACTAGGACGCAAACAGGCGAAATGACCCTACTATACTCCGGTTGGTAGTAAAGACGTAAAATGTATGTACATAATTTCGTATCCAGTGCATTTAATTCATCGATAGATAGATCAAATTAACTAAATTATTTGTTAACAACTGGTCCCATGATCTGTTTATAATAAGTAGTTATTTTCTTTATTACTGACCAGGAAAAACTTCTATGACTTGATCGAATTTATTAAATGTCGTCTGCCATATTTATTAAGTTCTTATTACCACGCGTTATAAATGCAAATTGCTCGGTGATAATTTCTATGGCAGATAGTCAACTGTATTTTTATGACATAAATATTTTTATATCATAATTTTTCAATAGCATATCCATGACTAGACTTGCTTAGGTATTCATTAATAAATTAAATATCCATGCCTTTGTTAAATCTTAATGATCTACAAAAAATATGCTTAACCCATTCAAACATATTATTAAGAGACTCTAAGAAACCTTTTTATAAAATGTGGCAATGAAATCATCTTCGGGATTGCTTAAAATGTGATGTTTTATTAACCCCTGCGATGCGCGCTATGATAAAATCCTATCGCCGATTTTAGACAACAACCGTTTGGACTTATCGTACATAAACGATAAAATGTGTCGATAAAAATTTATCGTGGCGCGCATCCTAGGCTTACTGGTAAAATTACTCTTTCTATAGGGATAAAGTAAAATAAAGTTTTTAAATGTATTAATAAATCAAGTCTTACAAAACCCTTTATTGACATTTCGTGAGACAACTCTATCGATTAGCATTTTCGTAATTAATTGACCACAAACACCGACTGTGTGATATGATGGGAATCTGGGCCTTATCTCTATTATTTGCATACAAACTACGGTATAATTTCCTGTCCACACACTTCCTCGATAAAAAACGATATTAATAACAATGACATCATAGTTCATCATGTGCAGTGGACAAATATGTCGTTACAAAAATTGTCTCAGTAAGCTCACATCAAGCGTTAATAGCCGTTTCTTAACTTTTAATAGAAGCTATATTTGCATAGCAAACCCCCATTTAAAGAAATGACCCCAAAGAACTAACGATTACAAGAAATTAAAAACTAAATAAATAAACTGGAAACACAATACGCGACCTATTCCAAAAACCTGGAGATTGCACGGGTGTTACATTTTTCTTAAGAGACTTATGCCCGTTTTCACCACTAATCCCTAATTTTTAAGTTCGTTCGTTCGTTCGTTCGTTTCAGCCAAATGACGTCCACTGCTGGACAAAGGCCTCCCCCAAGGTTTTCCACAATTTTTAAGTGCTCTATGCTATTTGGAACACAACAGGAATTTTGTTTTCATAAGGGTCACTTAAAAATTAGGGATTGATGGTGAAAACGGGCATCATGCCAATTTTTTCAAGCTTCAAGTAATCGACAAACGAGTCTTCTCTCCACCTCTACTTTGGTACATTTGGCATTATTAACAAAAGAGAAATAACTCAGAACTGATAAGGCTGACCTTAAAACTTCAGCCAGATTTGGTCAATAGACCGGAGCCTTGAATCTGCACCGCAATGAGTAATTAAACAAAACATTCGGGCTATCTCGTGCGAAAATCTGAATCAAAACCATTTTGAGTAAAACTGCAGATGATATATTGTAGACG